ACAGCACAGACCACCAACCCCCCCCCCCCCGCTGACAGCTCAGCCATACGCCGCCTTCCACACCGCTCCCCCCTCCTCTATCGTGGCAACTAAGGTAGGGAGAGTCCTGTCTGCAAGCCTCATATAGTGAACAAAATCTTACTTTTACCTCTCCTGACTGAGCCAAATCCCCCTTTATTTGTGTCTCACACACTCCCCCTGCTAGACACTGCAGCTCACAGTGGGAGGGTGTCAGCATCAGTGGTAGTGCTGTTAATACAGAAAGCAGTGGGGAGGACTCGGTGTGGCCAGGTGATGACTGACAAGCTACAAGCCTGTGACTCAGCAGTGACAATGCAGTCCCCTGCAGGAACTTCTCATCCCGCTATAGTACAAGCAGGCTCGGCCTACACAAGAGTGGCAACTTTGCTCTGAATTCAGGAGCAGTGCAGCATCATTGACACTCTATGACAGGAAGCTGCATTAGGTGACTTCACTGTCAGGAGAAACAGATATTTGTGTGACTTTCCAGGGGGACTAAGAGAAACTGTAAATGCGGATACACTTATAATTAAGCGCTGCAGGAAATGTTTTTATTTAATGAGAGGCCTTAGTTCTGCTTGTTGCTGCGATACTTACCCTAAAACGAAGGGAGGTGCCAAGCCTAGACTTTAATAATCAGGGATGCTAATCACTGATAAAGATTCCTGTGCTCATATAATTCCATAATTAATTGCCATAATTAGAGTTGACAGCATCAGAAACGTTGCCCATAATCCTTTGCGATGTCGTTCATTTAAAACCCAACTGAGACCAAAACTTTTTTCTAAATTCAGGATGGAGTGAGGAGGGGTTAGAACCTCCGATGAATTTTTAATGCTGTCTGCATCACTGCGGGGGGAGAGAGGTATCAGAAACAAAAGTGAAAAGTGAAGGAAACTCTTCTCGACTAGGAAACTGACAGCAAAAAAAAATAAGCAAAGGTCTCACCCTTCCTGTCCAGAAAAAGAAGTGATGCACAAAGGGGACACGGCATGTAGACCCCTCAGAGAGGTTCTAGACCTCCCCCTTTCTTCCATAAAATGGTAGAACTACTTGTTCCAGCAATGCACTCAGAACAACCAGCAACTATATGTGTTTTGGAATAAATCACAAAGGTCATACCAGGATCTTGTCTGCGACAAACTTGGAGATTTCACTGGCGTCCTTCATTATGGAGTCTGGTAAGAATGAAAGTGAGGCTGCTTTTAAACCTAAATACAAGAAAGGAGATGGTCATAAATTATAACAAACATATATAAACACATATGAAACTAAAGCCAAGTCAGACCTGTGTGCTGCGGCAACGTGCAGTAAAAAGTAGGGATGCACCGATACCGTTTTTTTGGTATGGAGTACCAATATTTTTTTTCCCTGTACTCGCCGATACCGAACACAGGCAGCGTTTAATGACTCGCCATCTAGCTTCCCGATTAGCAGGGACGCAATCTCCATGCTCCTTCAATATCAGGTGACGAGGGAGCATGAAGCCGGCTTTCTGGCCAATCATGAAGCAGGTAATGACTCGCCGCTTCGCTTCCTGATTGGCCAGCTTCCCGACCAAGGTGACGAAGGAGCATGGAGCTGGCTTCCTGGCCAATCAGGAAGCCGGGGGGCAGGTAATGACTCGCCGCTTGGCTTCCTGATTGGGCAGCTTCCCGACCAAGGTGACGAGGGAGCATGGAGCTGGCTTCCTGGCCAATCAGGAAGCCAAGGCGGGCAGTCATTACAAGCTGCGCGGCTTCCTGATTGGCCGGGAAGGCAGCTCCCTGGTGAAGAGGGAACATGGAACCGGCTTCCCAGTCAATCAGGAAGCCGGGCAGCGTGTGATGACTTGCTGCCCGGCTTCCTGATACCGGAGGTTTTGGTATCGAGCTAGGCATCAGAAGCATTTGGGCGAGTACGAGTACAAATACTCGGTATACTAATTGACATTGCATTGCCATTAATTAAGTGACGCATTTAAACACACAACTACAGTATTACGGCTGAAAACGATCATCGATTTGACCCCATTAACTATTAGAAAATCGAATGAACATTATGATAACTTTTTTTTTTAATGAAATTCTACTGATGTATTCCCAGCTTTATTATTGAAGCCCAAACACTAACACACAAGACACAAACATAATTTGCAGTAACTGCTAGCAACCAATCAGCAGCATCAAATAATAAAACTAAGAAAAGCTGACATCTAATAGGTTCATTTAGGTCACTGCAAAGTGGTGTGTTTTACAGTGAAATGATAAGATATCTATCATCATTATTACCATAATTCTTCTCTTTCGTCTGCCCTTTGGATAGCAAGTAGGTATAAGCCATAGAGTTCTTATTCCCGGACTTGTCTGATGGAGGCTTTACAGCAAAGTGAAAGTTTTCCACGTTTGGATACATTGAACCTAGATGGCATAGCTCCAAGAAATGGGTTGCAAAAAGTGTAAAGGCCTGAAAAGAAAAGTTAGTCAGCAAATTCAGCAAAGGGCAGGGTATTCACATAGTTAGGCTCCTTTTACAAGGGCGGTCCAATCGGGTCCACCTGTCAGCTTTTCAGACTGACCAGATTGGATGGCCAATGTAAGTCTAGGGGCAGCTGGGTCTGTTTACACCCGGTTACCCTCGACTCCAGCCAGGTCCGGAAAAACAAACAGAATAGTGTTCCATTTCGACTGACCTTATCCTGGTGGATCGGGGGTAATCTGATGTAAACTGACACGTGTCTGTTTACATCTGATTATAGACCGACATGGGGTATTGGTCAATTCAGTTTTTATCTCCATAGGAAGATGGAGGAAAAAACTGGATGGACATGGATGCCACGCGGTGATATCCAATCAGGAAGGGAAAAAAGCGGTGTCTCAGAAACAAGGTAAAAGAATATTTAAAAAAAGTAAAACAATGCCAGGAGGGGGAAAGGGAGTTTTGGGGGCAAATTTTTCTGAATATACACTTTGAGAAAGGACAACTTGATGGCAACTGAGAAATGACAAAGGTACCTTTGAACCAAGAAGGTGTTCGCACACTGCGTAGCAGATCCCAATGCCTTCCTCTGCACTTGTTCCTCTTCCTAATTCATCAATTATTATCAGTGACTTCTCATTTACATTCTGGATTATGTATGTTATCTTAGGAAAGAGTGACACATGCATGCATCTTTAAATTCATTTTGCATAGATTCATCAGTGGCTATATTTGAAATCCGTACTTATCTAAAAACATGAGGTTTACCAGCAAAGAGTCAGGCTGAGTTCACACCATCCGCATGATAAATGATTCATTTCAGCATGTAGCTGGTGTTCGCTGAGTGGCAGCGGTGTATAGTGGTGCTTTGTGTTTTCTACTTTATTGGCAGTGTACAATTATTTTCTGTGTGCCCTTGCAGTGACTGGCGTTAATCCAATATGGAAAAACAACAGTCACCGCAATTGCTATGATTGAGCCCTTACACACCTAATTACAGGAAAATGTACAAGTTCAGTTTTTTTTGTACTTTAAAGTCTGTATGTATGTGTGTGTGTGTGTGTGTGTGTGTGTGTGTGTGTTCTATAAAATAAAATATACAGCATATATTAGGTGAAAGCAACCTCAGCACTCCAGCTGTTTTGAAACCTCAAGTCCCATGATGAGGCATTGCAAGACAGCCATAGGCATGACTCCCAGAGGAAGAGGCATGATGGCATTTGTACTTCCACCACAGCTGGAGTGCTGAGGTTGCCCACCTCTGGCATATATTACATAAAAAGGGTTATTAAACCCTCCGGTGTTTTTTCATATATCTACTGCTAGCAAGCAGTAGATATATGCAAAAAGTGTTTTTAAAAAACCACTTTAAAAGCAGTTTAAACTTACCTGTGTCTTCCCCGCGCGCTCCCGTCCGAAAATGTGAAAATTCTCGGGTGGCCGCAAAGCATCTTGGGGCGGGCGCATGTGCAGTTCACATTTTCGGGGTGGGAGACAAGGGGAGACACATGGTAAGTCTATGGACAGCGTGCACCCGCATGCAGACACCGTGGGACAGGAAGTGCCAGCAAGGACAGAGGAGTCAGCGCTGGATCAGAGACCCGCCGCAGCGCTGGAGGGACAGATGAAGATGACAGGAAAGAAGATCGGATTAAGAGACATCATTTAAGGTAAGTGCTTTAAATAACCTTGGGGGGAGGGGAAATATATTTGACTTTAATGTCACTTTAAGTCTATTTTTAAAATATTCACATCTGGTAGTTTTGGAACCTCTGTAAGGTTTGGAGTGACCCACCAAACACTACTTCTACCAGTAATATTGTCCTGATTTTATTGTAATACGCAGTTCTGCTTATGTGTACATAATGCTGCACCTCCTTCATTTCCCTCATGAAAGTTGAGGCATTTGTTTCAATATCATCATCCATTCCAATCCGTGTAAATATCTGTTTAGCAATTCGTAGGGAACAATATTCAGCTGGAACAAAGGACCCTGCAAAACAAGAGAGACAAAACATTTGTGAAAAAACAGAATGATGGCAGTACTTGTAAAACTAATTGTACATATGGAACTGAATGATCTCAATTTTTATTTAAAGCACCCCCACCACACAGAAAAATGACTCAGGCTGATAACATATAAAATCAAAGTAAGGAGGGTAAGGAGTTTGCATGGATCCTTTTCATTTCTTTGCATAAAAGCTGATTGCAGAGCTAAGAGAACATAATATTAGGATGGATCAGCAAAGGACCGCAGCTGCAATGATCTCTGGCGGATATCCCTTTAAACACATTCGAGGACTAAATACACAATTTATATGAGATCTCTGCGCTTGCCATGACTGTAGGAATGCGGGTAAAAATCCCTTATAAAGTTGCAATTGTAAGATAATGTTTCCAACTGTTGAAGTAAAGTTTGCACCACAAAAGGTCTATGACAGGAATGTAACAAAATGTATCCACATAGAGAGCAACAGTAGGCAACAGCATCCAGATGTGATTACATCAGGTTTCTAAGGCACCGGTGGGCAACTCCAGCCCTCCAGTTGTGCTTCAACTACAAATCCCAATATGCCTCTGGCAGTCATGCCTGTAACTGTCAGTCTTGCAATGCCTCCTGGCTGTTGCAGTTCCAGAACAGCTGAGTTTCCCAAGCTTGCTCTAAGGGGAAAAACAAACTGCAAAGGTGCCTATGACCTTTTAGCAATCTTTATTTAATGCACAGGAGTGACATCATCCCGAACCGGCCAATTAAGATGGCTGAAGATTTAGAACCCAGAAAAAGACCGGCATGGAGGGGGGCATGTACATCGAATTGCTGTAAGGGATCGCTTTGTTGGGTACGTGTGCCATAATGTGGAGTTATGCTGTGCATACGGTACTTGCCGGTTTAGCAAAAAGCTCCCGGGGCCCACAATTGTGCATGTTACATAGTATTTGAGGTTGAATAAAGACACAGGTCCATCAAGTTCAACCTTTGGCTCTGTTCACACCTAGGCGAATCGAATATGCGCGTTTGTCGCCGCAAAGAAGGTCATGTACCTTTTCAGGCGTAGGCCGTTTTGTAGCGCGTTCAGACGGGCTGAAATACGGCAAGGTGTGAACCATACCCATAGAAAACAATGGGATTTTCATGTTTGAGCGTTTTGTAGAGCGTTCGTAGAGCGTTGAACGCGCTACAAAACGTACAGGTGTGAACCAGGCCTTTGAGTGTCTGTGTGTGCATGTGTATGTCTGTGCACGAGCCCCTGTGTGATCTTGTTTTTAGGAGTACCTGTAACCCATGTGCTCTAGAGGTTTCTTTCACTTTAATGGGCAGCTATACTTTTACTATAACTTTTGCCTAATCCCCATCCCCCCCAACTAAACTGGCAGACTCACTTTAAACATCATATTTCAGGAATAAGTAAAAACCTTCATAAAGGAATTAATAAACCACACTGCTTACACTCTCATTCCCAGTGCTTTGTAGCATTTTCCATACTCCTTGCTGTAAGTTTTGCCCAATAACGTAGCAATGCTGCCCTGTGTTCCATTACTAACAGAGGCTGCTAATCAGGGGCTGCTAAACCTCAAGCAGCACTTTGAATTCCAGGTTCTTATTAACATTGCAGCTTTGTGTAGAATGCTGGACAATGAAATGAACTACATTTGAAGACATTCCTGCTCTCAGCATGACAGCATTCCTGAATGATATGTTGCTAGTCACAAAAAGTATGTAAGACTTGAAGGAAAATCACTCCTAAAATATAAAGCAAAACTGATGAAGAAAAATTGTTGCCGACAGCAAACAGACTCCGGCTGTATCGTTACTCCTACGAGTTGGAATATTAAAGTGTGCGCACTACTGGTTACTGTAAACAGCAAATACATTTTCCACTCCATCCCCTTTTATATTAATATTATTATTTTAGAGCTGAAATCCAGGCAAAGCAAAAATTGTTTAAAGCT